TTAGGCCTAAGACAAGTGGACTTGCATATTTCGGTGTCTACGATTAGAATTATTTTGTATTATTCTAGAAATCCTGTATTTAAAGGAGTACTGTTATAATAAAGATAATAATATGACCGCAAATGTCCCTGGTAGTAAAATAATAATAATATTTTGTTTATATAATTAAAACTGCTAGTTTTCTATGTTTACAACAGCTGCAACAAATTAAAACTTGGACATTACGTCAGACGTCTCTTTATGCTTTTTTTATTTGTTTTGTTTTCTATCAAGTGCATTGTTTAATTTAGGCCTGAGAATTTAGCGATGTTTGGACAAGAGATGTTATTTGTTTGAAGTGACAGATTGGAGGGAAGGCGTTATGCCAAAACACTGACCGCCAATTGTTGGACTACTCTAATCGAATAGTGTGGTTTGACCATAATTCTCATAACGCACTCACGGCCTAAAGCGTTTGTACGTAATGATTATTTTCTTAATGTACTTGTGTTGTCAATCTGCCATATATCTAATTTATACTAGACTACCGTGACCCGTTGGGTCACCCACTATTCAGTGGGTATAAAGAATTCAAGCTAATTTCAATATTTAACGAAACTTGTTTTGTTCTGTTTCTATTTTCATTTCATTACACATATGGCGCTATTGTGCTCTGTTTTTGCTGTATTTAATTACAGACAAACAAACAATCTCAGATTTTTAGTAGTATACAGATTGCAACCCTTTATTTTTGTAAATCTAACTGTTACTCCTATAATTAGGGTTTAGCGAAGACGTTTTAAAGAATTGTTTCTGCATGTATAAATCAAAATAACAACAACCACCAAGCTTGTCCTTATGTTTGCAGGTGTACAGGGGTCCTTTTTTAGACCCGAAATAATGCATTAAGAAACTTCCTTGTAAATATACTACAAGCTGATCCTTGTAAGTCAGAAGGATATATTAGTAGCATGTTCACGTAAAAAAATATAATTTCTAATATGCCTTGCTGCTAGATGCCGGCTATGTATGTATAGTATTTGTGCAAAAATTTTAAGTTGTTAACAAATGTTTTTTTGGAAATATTAATGTCGTTTAATGCTAATAATTGTTTAAAGTCAACGGTGCGAAAAAACTATCCATATGTTTCTGTCTTTTGTCAACTTTGTGCTGAATTGCTATATTCAAGTTTGTGATTCGGAAAACAAACTCCAAATGACGGATGTGTTTTTTCTTCCGTTGTTAGGACGGGCATGAAAGTGTGAAGCATGTAAATTCTATTCTTCATTAAAGTTTACTTTTCTCACGATAAGTAAATACCTTTTTATCTAATAATCCATTGGTCGTTTACAATAAACCAGCATCACACGTGATTGATAAACTTTAAGCCTTGTACTGACACACTTACAGCATTTATGACAAATTCACGACATTTTTGTGTGCGAACAAATATATTGTTCAGACAGGGATATCACGTATATGTGTATTATAATCATAACGGTTAAACTAAACATTTGATAATTGGGACTCTGAATCTAATAACCTGGGCCCTCGTTTATTTTTCTCAGGGCGATATAATTGTTTCGTTTACTATAAAAAATAGCCTACCTTTTGTATAATTGGTGATTCTTTAACCCCGCTCGTAGACCAGAGATCCTTGGGTCAACTTGAAGTTACCCTTGTGTGACGTCGGCCTCACGTTCGCGTATGTTGATTAAGATAATCGCACTGGATAAATTCAAGTAATAAGAAAAGTAGATGATTTTAGTAATAAATTAACGGCAACTTCTTCTTCAGAATAAACCTTCACGCACACTCATCATAAATTTGCTCTTAAAGCCCTCTAGCGGGCTTTTACGGATGTAAAACTGCATATTTCAAGCGAATCTATCGTACGGAAACAAAGTTTTATTTTTCTAGCTGAAGGTTATTACCTAATGTCACTTAGGTCGCTTATGTATCCGGGTGTCGTGAACACTTTATATTATTATATAATTACCTAAGTTTCCCATGCAGTCGCTCTACACGAACTATTCCGTACATGTTGAGATCTTAATATTTTCAATAAATCTTTGGACGAGGTGGAGGTGAAGATAAATAATCATGAAACAGTATCTTCACTAATACGTAATAATCAGATTACACAATAATTTTAATAATAATAGATGTTTATTAACATTATATTGTTTTGTTTTTTTTCTGCCCCCTATCACCCCAAGGAACTTTGTTTTCTAATGATAAAGGAAGCGGAAAATGGGTTGGAATCCGTACTTTTTAAAATATGTTAGGCAAAGGAATGTGCAATATTATTTATCAGTTCAAACTATGTGTTTATTGTTTAACACTTTTCCTAAGTATTCAATGTGCATAATCATTTCTACCTCCCATCTTCACATAAGGAGTCGGCGAACCCCTCCTCTCCCCCCCCCCTCGGTATTGTCATCTGTAATGCTCAACTCAATGTGCATAAGTTGCAAAAATTAATTTAGGCTTAACGTATTCATTTTATATTCTTGATTTCATTTGTTTGTTTATTTTAGACTTTTTTGCGAAAAGCTTTGCAAGGGGTATCTAATATAAACATCCACAATTTGGAAGTTTTGACTTGATAGGCTAGAAATAATGCAGCTAGTCAATAGCACCCACGGCCAACTCGTGGGGTACTATTTTCCTACTGAAAAGTGGAACCTGACTGTTACCTGTATAGCGCACCCATAGCTCAAAAGTGCTAAACGCACTTTTTGTTGTATTTTTTTGCGACTTTCGAACCCATGAACTTTCGAATTCACAGTTCGGACACGCTAACTAATTGGCCACAACCAGCTTTATTTTTTAAACACGTAAAATTCTCATATACATAAAACATAAATATTGCAAACCAGTACTTTTTTGTTCTTTTGCTAATTCGTTACGAAGATTTCATTATTGAAAATATTAAGATCTCAACATGTCCGGACTAGTTCTTCATGTTTAGTGTTTGTGTGGGAAGCGAGAAACTTGAGTAATATAGTTAAGTTTGACTATGGGAATTAAACAACCATAAAAAGAGCGATCACAAAATTAAAATAAAAATACCTCTATAAAAAGAGCCACATAGCCATCCATAACCTAAGAGTGTCCACCATGTTTAACAACATCATAAAAAAGGTCGATTTCCGACTCTGCAGGTTTAGCCTGAAAGATGGGGGCGATTATTGCGGTCTCATCTTCCCGATCTCTGTCGCTGTATCACTACAAAAACATTACTGCCCCTGAGCTACAGATAATGCAGTTTTATAAATAATATCGGTATAAAGCAAACGACATTAAGATTCACACGCATAAAATATACCAATTCGCAACGTTTCACGAGTTATTTACAACCAGTTGTGTTTCTAAGTATCAACTGAAGCCACACTTTATTAATCTTCATTTAATGTGATTCATTATCTATTGATTTGTTGTGTTGCTAAGTAACAAATTATACTCCACATTGTTTTTGTTTTTTAATTGTTGTGTTGCTAAGTAACAAATTATACTCCACATTGTTTTTGTTTTTTAATTGTTGTGTTGCTAAGTAACAAATTATACTCCACATTGTTTTTGTTTTTTAATTGTTGTGTTGCTAAGTGATAAACGATCCACCACGAACACTTATATAAGCATAGAACTATCACATTGCTGAGTAACAATTGAAACTTTTGTGTTGCTAAGTAACAACTAATTTAGCGCATATTTGTGCTAATTAAGAAAGCCATAAAACAGGTGATAATCAAATATGTAAAAACACTGTTATAACAATATTTATATTAAACCAGATTCGGATTTTTGTGCCTTATAATTTCAAATATTAATGGAAGTAACTTTGTTATATGAAGGAAAACACAGGTTTGTTTGACGTCTGGGCTTCAGTTATTACGTCAGAAACTGAAGTTATAGTGCAGTTATTTGTTTGATTAAAATATGTTTCTGGGTCGCTATAGAGGTACGTAGCAAAACGAAAGACAACTTTTTATAATGCACAAGGAAAGTCAGCCATTATTTCTACAATTATGCATACTGTGGTTACTGAAACAGACCTGAAAAGTCTGTTATCCAAGTTTGGTCATTTGTCATCCTGAGGAAATTTTAAAGTTTTTTACTATAAGCCCCCACCACCACCACTGACTCAGTAGTAAGTTCTTTGAGGTCTTATAGTGCTAAAATTGTGGTTTGATCCCTGTGTTAGTCACAATGAAAATAGGCACTTAATTTAGCTTTGCACGTAGCAAAACAAACTGGTAGTCTTCGTATTGGACAGAGAAGTGTTTTAACCTCCGGACCACTTTATAAAGTTTTAACCTCAGGATCACTTTATAAACAGAGCCAAAACAGAGAGATACAAATAAATACAAACCTCTCGGCATTTTTCTTTGTTTTTATACCGGAAACCAGAGAAACGACATTCCAATAGCTAGACTACCTAACCTTTAAGAAGGCTGACGAGCTTGTTGCTAGCTTTAACTTGAAAGGCGCCACTTGGGTGATATTTAAAGTGATTGTGTGTGTGTGTGTGTGTGTCTGTGTGAATATTCATATGTTTATCTATCTCATTACTTGTAAATAATATCTCGCTCTTTTTCTCCCTTATAACACACACATATAGGTGAGCTTTGTTGTATTAAAATTATCTATCTGTCTCTGTATTTATCCATCTGTCCGTTGGCTTTTTTCTGATCGCAAACTTGTAAAACTGGACAGTATACAGGCTAGCTTCGTATTCTAATGCCAGTTTTGGCTACTCCTATTAACTGTTTCTCCCAAGAGTGAAAACTTAGCCAACAGATCTTGTATATATGATTTTTTTAAAATTAATTGGAATGTTGAAAACATTATGTATGGGAAGTAATGTCAGACTTTTAAAGAAATAAGTGAATAGGCTTAGGTGTCTCGGTGAATTTTGACCCCAAAGTAATTGATTTACCACGTGAGTATAATGTTGACTGAATGGCGTTGTAGACTTAAAAGAGTAGCAGTAACCCGAATACTTTAATTTTCTCCAGATGCTGAATCTCTGGCCAATTTATCATCCAACCAAACCCCTTGTAGTGAAACGAGTCGACCTCTAGACCTTAAACATTCCACCGCGCATGAGGTCGTGGCGCTATCGGTCGACCCAGGAGATGAGATTGAAAAGGAAGCTGCGTTTGAGGATAAAGTAGAAGCGTTGGAGACGTCTTCTGTAGAAGGTTTCACAGCGAAGAGCAACTGGAACTCCTCGCCGTCTGAGGCTGCTGTATTATTGAAAGATCCTTTAAAATCAGTGAACTCTGAGGAACCAAATATAACAGGTATCAGGCTTTATATGAAGTTATAGATATCTGCATAAAATACTATATCTTTGTTTTATATGTGTCTTTGTTTCTTAAATATTTCAGTTTGTAGAAGCGCGAAACTTTTATAAAAAAAAAGAGGGATTTCCGTACCATTTTAAAGATATTACATACAAATGATATACAGAATCTTGTTACAAAAGCTTTTACAATATTTGTATGTGAAAGAAACGTAGTACATTTGTTGTTAATCGGTATCAATTGTATGGAAAAATTTAGGTTATTTCAACTAGTCCATTAAGAAAATCCAGACACTTCAGTTATAGTAGATGTAATATTCACGATTCATCTATGCCTATATCTGTGGAACTATAAAAAATTCCTGCATTCCTCTTTTATCACTATTACAAAAACAAACGATACACAGCTGCTGTGTTCCATACTAACCGTTTCACAGTAAAGTGACGTTCAGTGCAAATATATATTTTTGAAAATAAGTTTACGGTATTTTTGTTTTGGATGTTCGCGCAAGGTTACACGAAAGGGTTATAGCTGCGCTAGCTATTCCTAATTTTGAATTGATAGACTAGAAGGAAGGTAGGCAGTCAACAGCACCCACCGCCAACTCGCGGGAAACTTTAACCGAATAGTGAAAATTCTACCCAAAGTTCAGAGCCAGTGTTTTTCTTTGCCAGCAATGGGACGTGATACATGGATCTTTGGATTAATATTATGGCACGCTAACCATTAGGCCACGCCTGACTAAAAAAAGAAAGTTTAAACGGAAACATGTAACTTAATTTTGTTCATTAATAAGTTATGATTGTTAACAGAATCAGTAGAAACATTGATCAAAATAACTAGTACTACACAGTTCATACCGGGTTATACAGTCTTGGTCCGATCCGAATTTTAAACACTGCTTAACTCTCCGATGAGCAGACGATATTATACTCTCGATATAAACGTCGAATGGACTTTTGAGGGCTTTGAACTAGAGCATTTGGAAGATTTCTCTTTGTTTGTTCGGTGCTAGCAGTACGTCGACGACCCGTATTTCTTTCAGTTGGAAAAGTTTCTATTCTTTGTTCGTTGTTAGCAATACGTGGATGACCCGTATTTCTGACTGTTAGAAGAGTTTCTCTTGTTTGTTTAGTTCTAGCAGTACATGGATGACCCGTATTTCTGACTGTTAGAAGAGTTTCTCTTGTTTGTTCAGTTCTAGCAGTACGTGGATGACCCGTATTTCTAGCTGTTGGAATAGTTTGTTCGGTGTTAGCGGTACGTGGATGACCCGTATTTCTGACTGTTGGAATAGTTTGTTCGGCGTTAGCAGTACGTGGATGACCCGTATTTCTAGCTGTTGGAAGAGTTTGTTCGGTGTTAGCAGAACGTGGATGACCCGTATTTCTAGCTGTTGGAAGAGTTTGTTCGGTGTTAGCGGTACGTGGATGACCCGTATTTCTGACTGTTGGAATAGTTTATTCGATGTTATCAGTACATTTGTAACGGTCTAAAATAAACAGCCACTACAATCAGGGTTCAACAACAAAAACATAATTTATTCACAATAACAACACTTAAAATAAATTCAACAAAGTTAATAAACAAATGCCTGGCCAGGACTTCATACCAATATTGATAAACAACTTATCGTAAATATTAATAAATCAATAATAATGGAATCAGGAAAAAGAACCAGAAAGAAAAAAATACAGCAAATATAACATTCAAACAATACCTTTCAATATCAAGTAATAAACAGTAATAACTATTTCGTGACTGAATTTCTCTCTCTCACAGAGTAGGTCACGAGAGTACAACCTCATGTGATCATAAATTTACATACATTAATAGTATCTGTACGTCACCACTACGGAAGCTGGTGTAAGTTTCATCATTTGCTCAAACTACAAATGATTATGTAAAAGGTGAGTTTTAATGCAACTAAAAATTCATAGATTAACTAAACTTTAGAGTGAAATAATAAATGAACGATAAACACAACCAAAATCATACACAAAAAAATAGAATTCACTATCTTACACGTGGACAACCCACATTTCTGGATGCATGACGATGTACTGAACAAGAGACGTACTGACCCCGACCTCCCAACGTACACCATCTGCACTACACTAATTCTGTTCCACTGTTAAGAACCCTCTTGTCACTAGGACTAACTTACCCGCAACAAAACGATACTATATAACAAGTTTTAGTTGGTATTTTTGGACAGTTCACTATTCTTTACTCTCCTGAACAGGAATAGTCAACAATTCGAGTTTTATGTCTTTTTTTTAAATTCATTGCACCTATTGTGTGTGATCCTGCGTGCTAACTGTTTTATTTTATGGATACCCTATAGGTGTGTGTGTGATGGAAGAAAGAGTTTAGTAATTGTTAATAGGGCCTTAAATATATTCCAACGAGACATTACGTGTAAAGAACCCTGTTTCCATTTTAATTTAGTAGGGATGGCTTTGCGTGAAATTCAACAAACAAACAATATTTCCGTTATTCTTTCTAAGAATTATTTCACCAAATTCAGTCACTTCGTGATCGTCCCTTTGTTTAATCTTTATAGAACGATATGTGATTTATGGAATCAGTAGTTTAGCTGTTATTATTGTAGTCTAAACACACAACAGAAGAACATCTACGTAGATACGAAGTGTATCGTACTGTTGTATAAGCTCTGCCCAGTCGCGCTCATCTGGCATTTCACCAGGTGAAGACAGAAACATGTTGTCATTTTTATTACTCGACCACTCCCTTGCTTTAAGAAAAGCACAATAAGTCCTACTGTATATTACTTACAAAACGGGAAAAATGGATGTGTCAAAAATGTTAATGTATATATAGGCCACGGCCTAGTTTAAAAGTAAAGCATATCCGTTACGTATAGATTAGTGTACTTCAGTTTTTGGCGTGGCCTATTCATTAACCTTGCTGGACTGTGAATCTGATGGTCACTGGTTTGCATCACGAAACCGCGCTTCGCACTTTGGAGCTGTGGGTGCGTTATAAGAGTGACCGTCAAACCACAGTATTCGATTAGAGTAACCCAAGAGTTAGCAGTAGATACTGTTGACTAGCTGCCTTTGCTCTAGTCTTTCTGTTAAGAATAAGAGGCGGATAGCGCAGGTAGCCCCTTCAGTAGCTTTGCGCATAGCCAGGTGGTTAGGGCGCTTGCCTCGCAATATGAGGGTTGCGGGCTCGAATCTCCGCCCCACCAAACATGCTCGCCCTTTCAGCCGTGGGGGCGTTATAATGTGATGGTCAATCCCACTATTCGTTGGTAAAAGAGTAGCTCAAGAATAGGCGGTGAATGGTGATGACTAGCTGCCTTCCCTCTAGTCTTACACTGCTAAATTAGGGACGGCTAGCGCAGATAGCCCTCGTGTAGCTTTGCGCAAAATTCAAAACAAACAAATCTGACTTTCTTGCTGGAATTTTCGTCGTTAGATTATCCTGATGCTGAATGATTATTTTAAAACTAAACCACTGCTGTTGATTGTTAAAAACATGAGTCGAAAGATCACCAAAAATAAATATTTTTATGTGACAAAAGTCCTAAAGTAATCTGTAACTATATACAGTGATATAGTTAGGCCTGTCGTAACCAAATGGGTCCATTTATATTTTCTGATTAAAAAAACAGAGAGAGAGAGAGAGAGAGAAACACACATATAGTTAAATGTATGTTTGACACCACACTGCCCTCCGGTGGCTGAGTGGCGAGATTATAACACTAAAGTTCGAGTTTAGATACCCGTGGCAAGCAGAACGCGGATAGGCTATTGTGTAGTTTTAAAAACAAGCACTCACATAAGTTGGATCAATCAACCAGAGACACGCTAAACTGTTTGAGTAGAGTCCCCCGGATCAATGAACTAGAGACACGCTAAACTGTTTAAGTAGAGTCCCCCTGGATCAATCAACCAGAGACACGCTAAACTGTTTGAGTAGAGTCCCCCGGATCAATCAACCAGAGACATGCTAAACTGTTTGAGTGGAGTCCCTCGGATCAATCAACCAGAGACACGCTAAATTGTTTGAGTAGAGTTTATCCCCCCACCCCCGGTGGCACAGCGGCATGTCTGCGGACTTACAACGCTAGAAACCGGGCTTCGATACCCGTGGTGGGCAGAGCACAGATAGCCCATTGTGTAGCTTTGTGCTTAACTTCAAACAAACGAGTAGAATTTTGGGTGAAAACTTAAAATTTCCTTAAAGTTTTTAGATTACTGAAAAATTTCAGAGACAAATCTTTCACTACTTATGATAAAGTTATCTTTCATAATTTAAAAATCGTCATGTTTTAAAGTCAAACTGTGGGCGGCCTTTTTGCAAAAGTCCTTAATACATGCTGCAAAGCAACGCCCTAAAACTGAGTGTAACTTGCAGATTTAGTGCGCCAGTGCGTGATTAGTTGAATAGCGTTCACTGTAAATCAACAGCAAGTTTCTAGTTATAAGAATCTCATATTTTCGGGGGTGGGGGTGGGGAGGGGGTTAATTATCAAGTAGATTCGTTTGAGTTAGACAAACGATCCAAAACTACATCTAAATATCAATTCTAGTTACCTGATGATGTCTTTACTGGCGAAACTATGGTCGTAAATCAATGATGTACTTGTAAAACATACAATTGTCTTGTTTTTCTAGATATTGTTATTTTTTGTCACGTACAACGTTTTATTTATCTATGTATCTATGCTGTATGTGAGTTTATAATTTATCATAATTTAAAGCCTGATATTTATGCTTTAAAACTAAAAAGCGTGCATAAAAACTACACTGTTACTAAGCCTAGCTTACATACAGAATAAAATGAAAATTGTTCGATTTTGACAGATTCATACTGAACTATTTTGATTGGATACAAAATGTTGTTAGCCCCGTTTTAAAGGGATGTCTTCAAACCACGCATGCTTCTGGAAAGTTGTTTTTAATTTCAAGTTGTTGTACTACATGAAGACGTGTTTAACACAGAACAAAGCTATAAATTCCAGTCAGTTCTTTAATTATATAGTGACAGTTTATACGACAGTTCATGACAGTTTTCTTACTGGTTTTTTATGACGGCGGAGTTATATCAAGAATCACCACAGAAAATTTCCAAACAACAGAAATTTACACTGGTTCAATATGAATGTGTAGCCTCCCCCTCCACTAGTTCAGCGGTAATTCTTTAGGCTTATGACGCTAAAAATCGGGTTTCGATACCTGTGGTGGGCAGAGCACAGATAACCCATTGTGTAGCTTTGTGCTTAACAAAAATTAAAACAACACAATAATGTATGTTTCATTAGTTGTTGTTTGTTTTTCCTTACTGTAGATGATAAATTAATGGTGTATATAGAATGACTATGTTTCATTAGTTGTTGTTTGTTTTCGTTGCTGTAAATGATAAATTAATAATGTATATAGAATGACTATGTTTCATCAGTTGTTGTTTGTTTTTCCTTACGGTAGATGATAAATTAATGATGTATATAGAATGACTATGTTTTATTAGTTGTTGTTTGTTTTTCCTTACTGTAGATGATAAATTAATGATGTATATAGAATGACTATGTTTCATTAGTTGTTGTTTGTTTTCGTTGCTGTAGATGATAAATTAATGATGTATATAGAATGACCATGTTTCATTAGTTGTTGTTTGTTTTTCCTTACTGTAGATGATAAATTAATGATGTATATAGAATGACCATGTTTCATTAGTTGTTGTTTGGTTTTCGTTGCTGTAGACGATAAATTAATAATGTATATAGAATGACTATGTTTCATTAATTGTTGTTTGTTTTTCCTTACTGTAGATGATAAATTCAACGACTGTGTTAACATGGAACTGGATGGTATAGATGATAGCCACAAATCCCCATCTTTTCTACTGGAACAATCTCGTCAGCCCCCTGACGGACACGAGTTTCCTCCACGATACAGTGAACCTCGTCATTCACCGACTGTAAGGTCTCCAAGTCTTGGTGGGGATTCAGGAGTGTTTCTCGACGATCAGTCTGGGGATTCGTCACAAGGATCTGATCCAGTTTACCTAGGTGATTCCATCCAGTCTAGCAAGAACAACTGGATCACTACTCCTGAACTTGTATCTCAATATAAAACAGAAAAGACAACAAACAGTAATAATATGAAACAAGAAGACTATCCAGTCCAGTACTTGACAAGTTACCCCTCACAGACTGATCCTCTCCAGTCTACATCCATTCCTTCTGAGCCTTTGCTCAATCCCAAAACCTTTCAGTCCACAGAATCAAGCAAGTTTTCTCTTTCAGAAGAAAAATCGTGCAACAGAACTCCAAAGAAGTTAGTAGAAATTTCTTCTAATGGAGAAGTAAAATCTAAAGTTCGCACCACCAGTGAATCGCTACAAGACAAATCAGTTGATTTAAACAAAAAGCAAAATTTGACAGACCAAACGGGTTGGCCACTTTTGTTTGGCAAGAAAGACGTAGGAACGAAACAGAAAAGAGAAGAAAACGTAAACCTTAAAAATAGTATCTACAAAAGGCTATTCAACCAGAATCCGATTAGCGTGAAAGATCGTATTGCAATGTTTTCCCGAACTGAAGCAGATGCGAGAGGTGAATTTTCCGATGTCGCACAGAAAACACTCCATTCTCGTGAGGAGCCAGAATATCGGCAACTTCACGTTTCCCATTCTTCATCCACGAAGAACACTAGTGTAGAAAATCAAAAGAAAAGACCAAGCGGAAAACATAATGGTGCTAATATCGTTTCTCCCAGTCCGAATGAAGAGTTTGTAAAAAAGAACTCAAGTCCCCACCACAAGGTGGCGCATCTGCAAAGTTCCCATAATTCAGTATTAGATTCAACCACTAATAAGCCAGTTTTTCATTCAAAAACTTGCAAATCAAACATCTCAAACCTGAACGAGAGCAAGTTTTCCAGTGGAATGGATACAGACCTTCAATCACCCAGCTACCTTCGTCACTTAGGGGGGAGGAGTTCGAGCTGCAGTGGAATTAGCATGACAACTTCCCGAAGCCAAGAGGACTTGTTAAACCGGCCTAGTAATTGGAATTTGCTTTCTTTGCTACAAAAAACGCCTAAAACCAACACTTCTAAATTCAAAGGACTAGTCATTCCTGAGCGACCTGTCAGTTCTAATGCTGCAGTGAACTCTTTGCCCACAATAGCCAGCAAAACTGCTAACTTAACTTCAAAACCAGAACCAGTAAAAGCATCTATTCATCAGCAATTGAGAAAGGAAAACATCCACCCATCAGGTAAAGCAAAGTCATTGCCAAGAGGTTTAAGTTTGGACTCAGAGTATTCAAATAAGACACAGGATGCTATAGATGAAACAAACAAGCAATCATTATTGTCAGACCCACCATGGAAAAACTACAACCCTAGTCTCCCCAAATACTCCCCAGCTTTTAAAAGAAGATCTTTTCAGTTACCCCGATCAAATGTGACATCTTCTGTTTCACCAACTCCACCTTCTTCATTGACTTCTCCTCTGTCACCTCCTCCTACCTCGCCTTCTAGCATAAGTAGCTCAAACACTTCTTCGTCAGTTGGTATTACTTCTCCTCCAACTGTTAAACAACAAAGCGTTTTCCAATTTTCACTGTCTCACAGCAAGCCAGTAACTCCAGTTCTTCCAGAGAAGCCGATCATGCCAACTGCTCCAGTGTTATCAGATAACGAAGGAAAATATTATGAACAATCAACAGGAGCTAATGCATCTCTGAATGGTGAAATAAGAAAAACTACCAACTCTTCATTTTCAAAACAAACCAGGAATTCTCCTTTTGCTAAGACAACATCATCTGTAGAAAACAAGTTGTCTGAACAAAATAACAGTTCCAAAAACTTGGATCAGATAGCTACTAGAAGCAGTTCCACATCTTGGGACAGAAAATATCAGCAAAATGGTTCATGTTCATCTGCAGGTAGCAACTCTTCTAACTCCTCAGAATCCAAACGGAACAACAACTTGCGAGATCAAACAGAGACTGATGGCTCTGGCAGCACTACATTATCTCGAACAAGTTTTAATACGCCAAGAAATAACTGTAAATTCGATTCTGAAGAAATACCGAATAAATTTATGCCTTCAAATTCGGAAGTTCAGGGAAAGTTTGTGGCTAAACCAGTGTGTATTGATTTTGATGAGTCTGGAGCTTCACGGCTAGGACGACTTTCAGGACAAAAAACCAACAATGAAAGTCCTCTTCCTAACTACAAGAATCCTCCTTCACTTCCGCCAGCTGTCGTCCATAGACAGTTATTGGTAGGAGCTGAGGACAACAATAATAGTATCCAGCACAACAGTAACCAAAAATGGTCAAACCATTCTTTCCATAGCCGCTTTTCTTCTGACAATCTTGAAAGTGACGACGACTCTTTCTCGACTCTGAGTCAGAGGACAGAAGATTCAAGACATACAGCCGATGACTCATTGTCTGATACGACTACAGATTCTCTAGACCATCCTGTAGATGCAGAATTCAAACCACGCCGTCTTAGCCAGCAAAAGACTGTATTACGTATGCGTCAAGAAAGCCCATCTGATGGTACCAAGAACTTCAGAGCTCTCGCTGAGCGATGGGAGCAAAAGTCATTTGATGGCAATCAAGAACTTTCTTCACCTCCAATCCTTCTTTCTACACACACTCCAGTCGCGAAAAGGGATTCGCAATGTAACTTATCTCAGAATTTTACTGTAAAACTCCCTCCCTCTCTCATGCCGAAAGTAACAGATAGGCAGCCATGTTCGAGAAGAAACAGTGTTTCAAGCCAGATTTTCAACAACGGTTCAATGAGTGAAGTTAAGATGAGAGAAAATCGACCATCAGGTCCAAGACCAACATCTTTAATAGAGGAAGGGGAAAAGAAAAAATTAGATAACCTGTCACATAAAAACTTTCCATCTAACTCTGTTTTCACAAGGAAAGGAGAAACAGCGGAAATTTTTAGTCGCGGTGGAAAGTTAAAGGCCTCCAAAGAGCTCTTCAGTAGAAGTCGCGAGTCCTTGGATCTGTTGTGTACCAAAAACAGGTCGTATATGTCGTCTTCTACGAGGTCCATGAGTGTAAGCGATATTCGTAAAAATTTCGAAAACAAAGCAACTAATAAAGAAACAGCCCTGTCGCCAAAGTTTAAGTTTGTTGACCAAAATTCTTTCGACAGCCGCTCTAGCTTAGATATTCGGTCTGTGGGTCTCGGAATGTCTAATGGCAATCCTGATTTGATTTTCCATCATCGTGGCCATGAAGTCTCCAATGATTCGAACTCAACTTTCAAATCCAAAAGTCACTGCCTCTCTGATAATCACGCCAGCTCAATCTATCATCTTGATAAGTTCATCAAGAGAACAAACTCATCAGACAGTAATCAAACATCTAATCTCAACAACACAAACGTCAAATATAGTAACTGTCGAATTTTTGGTAAAGCCCAGTCAAGTAGCCCTCGAACTAATGAAGATCACCATACTTTCAGTTTACAATCTGACGGTCGTTCCACCAGTCGTGATAAAAACGTCGATCCATATTCCAAATCCAGTTATGGAATAACAGGAGCTCCAACAAGATGTCACAATCGATGGTCACGTGATGAGGAGAAATCTATTACGACAGCGAAATCTGTCAATGAACGGCCATCCAACAATACGAATTTCTCTTTGACATCTCAACCTGATTCGGAACTGAATGACCAAAATTCCAACCCAACTTTAAAGAAAAGCAACAGGAACTCTATTTCAACTTCAAACCAAGACAGTGGAAATGTGTTAAACTTAGGAACTGAACACAAGCGGTTCTCCTCGATCGATTCGTCTGGAAGTGAGTCGGGGGAAAACATTCCTTCACAGTACCAATCAAGTACATCTTTAACCTCTAATTCAGTGGATCAGTATGGATCGAACACATCTTTAACCTCTTTGTCTGACGCTACCTCTTCCCAAGAACACCAAAAGCTGCTTGAAGAGGCCATCCAAATCCTTAAAGATGATGCTACAAAAGGCAAACAAGAGGTAGATGTTGTGACTATTCAACGAGAACAGCACGCTGGAAGTATTGGAATAACCCTTGCTGGAGGGGCTGACTATGAAGTTAAAGAAATAACGGTAAATATATGTATTATTTAATTGTTTGGAGTAACTGATTATATAAAATCATAGTAGAAGAATGAGAGAATAATTTGGTAGGTGGCACTTGAGTAGCTTTATTGTTTAATATCAGTTTTTTATATATATCAACTTCGTCATTAACTACTAAGAGAACTGTGTCTTGATTTTATGGCAGATTTGTTTTTAATATTATTTACGAACATTGTTACAGAACACTACTTATTAGTTAAACCATCATCAAGAAGATTTAAACTACCATGTCTATATTACATTATTATTGGATTAAAACTAACATGTCTATATTACATTATTATTGGATTTAACTACCATGTCTATATTACATTATTATTGGATTAAACTAACATGTCTATATTACATTATTATTGGATTAAAACTAACATGTCTATATTACATTATTATTGGATTTAAACTAACATGTCTATACTACATTGTTATTAGATTTAAACTAACATGTCTATATTACATTATTATTGGATTTAAACTAACATGTCTATATTACATTATTATTGGATTAAAACTAACATGTCTGTATTACATTATTATTGGATTTAAACTAACATGTCTTTATTACATTATTATTGAATAAATATTTAAATCGTTTCAATGCGTGATAGAAGAAAGCGAAAAAATTACATAAAGTGAAGTGAAACAACTTCAAACAAAATTCATTTATCTAAATTGAGACTAAAATACAATAGCGTTTTGTTGATTGTTTAACTTCGGCTTCTTTGAAGAATTAGAAGAGTCTCCTTCACCGGTTTCAGTTTTACTAATTACTTTGAACATATTGGGATCCAAGTAATCGTTAAACTTGAAAACGAGACTACGCTACCTCTTGAAGAAGCCGAAGTTAAAAAAATCAACAAAACGCTACTGCACTTTTTGTCTCAGTTTAGATAAATAAATTTTATTGAAACTGGTTCTTTCGCATCACCTTGATTCATATTAATGTGTATGAAAAGCTATGTTTTTTATATTATGTGTGTATTTTTTCTCTTCTATGCGTATTTATCGGTATTGAAGGGTAAATATTATGGTTTGAAATATCACCCTGTTGTTTCATTTGTATAAACGTTGCTATTGTATCGCCATCTGTTGGCAGGATGTGGAATTTCGTTCCCATCGATATTTCTAGAGATATATAACACAATTAGAAACAAATCAATACTCAGACATTCATTTCTGAACCAAATATACAACGTTCTTCTGTAAAATGATTTAAACTAACACGTGCCTTTTAGTGCTACTTTACTAAATACCATTCATTCATTCACAGGTCCATAAGATTATAGCAGGCAGCTTAGCAGACAGAAATGGACATGTCAGAAAAGGAGATCGGGTCTTGTCTATTAATGGTTGTAGTCTGAAAGGTTTGACACACCAGGAGGCATTAGATATTTTGAAAACTCCGCGGAATAAAGTTGTCTTAGTCCTGGCAAGAACACGCACCAAATTTTCGGAACCCAAAAAGCCCCATGTAACTCCTCACTTAACAAATGGTTATCATATCGCTCCGGAAGAGAGAAAACAAGAAAATTCAAAGGTTCAGACAGGTAAGGAAACATTAAATTTTAAACAATAACTACAGATGTGAATGTATTAGTGTGTAACTAATTGTATAGCTTTGGCATGGCCTGGTGTTAGGACATTCGCTAGCAATCTGAGGGTCGGGGTTCGAATCCCGTCCCCTAACATGTTCGTCTTTTTTAGCCGTGGAGGCGTTATAATGTGACGTTCAATCCCACTATTCGTTGGTAAAAGAGTAGCCCAAGAGTTGGAGGTGGGTGGTGTTGACTAGCTGTCTTCCCTCTAGTCTATGACGGCTAACTTAGGGATGACTAGTGCAGATAGCCCTGAAAGTAGCTTTGCGTGAAATACAAAACAAACCAATAATTGTATTCTTGTTACCAGAACCATTAGTTCATGTGAAAGGTGTTACAGTCATTTTCATAGAGCCTGTATGTTCCAAGAGAAGTGTTAACACACTGATACGACTTTTTTTCGTTTGAAATTTTGTCGGAATCATATTGATATAAAAAAGCGAATATTCCTATTGCATTTCTTTCTTTCATAAGAAAACAATTTTACATTAATGTCCTATAAAATGTAAGAATATTATTGTTTTAAATAACTGACATAGCTACTAATACAGAATCAAATAACGAAAAAAACAACTAACTTTGTCTGGGACAATTTCACCAGGTATACACAGACGTTTTATAATTTTTGAATATTAGAGCTTTGGATAAGCCCCCAGTGGCACAGCGGTATGTCTGCGGAATTACAACGCTAGAAACCGGGTTTCGATACCCGTGGTGGGC